CACACACACACACACACACACATGCATGCATGCACGCACACACACACACATATAGATCGACTACAATTCAATATACAGCCACTTGATAAAAAACAGTATGAACAAAAAAGATCTACGCTGAAAGAAACATTACACCATGTGTATTGGGGTCATTACTTCTTAAAGCTGACCAGAAACAAATGCATTTTCAGCCCCGATTTGAACTTTGACAAACTGGTCGATCGTGTAGGTATTCTGGTAATAAATACCACAGGGAGGGGGTGTAATGGGAAAAAAGCTCTCCACCGAGTCTCTGACTTTCACTTTAGACAGGTTTAACAGTCTTTTTTTTTTTTGCCAATTTTAAAATCCGAGATGGTACACATTCAATAACAATTTTGCAAAGATAGGTTGGTGCAAAGTTGCTGACACACTTAAAAACAAACGAAAGCTATCTTGTACAGAGTACGAGCTTTCACAAGGAGCCAGTTAAGTTGGATTAACATGGGTTTTATATGTTCCTTGACATGTTTTTGTAGAATTATGTGAGCAGCTCGATTCTAAAGTAGTTGTAATCTGTTTATCTTTTCACTGGAACGGTTTTCAAAAAGAGAATTCCAATAGTCTAAAAGTGAAAGCATAAGAGATGTTATGAGGGTTTTATTGGAATAGACACTAAGATATTTCATTTGAAAATTAATGAACATTCATGAAGAAATACATGAATGCCTTCCTCAAACAAGACCCAACTGTGAAACTACACACAAAAGTATCTTTCTAGTGATGGGCTCGATGGTCAAGATTTTTATAAAATACATCTTTAGTCTTCTCTTTGTTGGCACAAAGAAAATCATGTCAAGCCCACAGTAATCAGGTTCTGTAAGCACTTTTAAAATTCTAGTAATGGTAAATATAAGAAAGGGCGAACTGTGAACCGGCCTTAAGTCTTGAATATGAAAAGCTCTCCAAAAATTTTGAGGACGAACATTAACAAGTTGAATAGCACAATGACCTACTAAAATTGAAATAAAGACACTCCTATGAACATTTATATTCAGTGATGTAAAGAAAACAGAAAAACAAAAGGGCTTAGAAAGCAATTTAACGAGTCATGTTTGTCATTAATCAAATTAAGAAAATTTGAGGAAAAAAAAGTTTTCCAACTCTTACCATCTGAGAAGACATGGTCCTTGAAAAATCGCTATTCATGGCATAGGGAAGGGCAGTCTGGGCTCGTACACCATACTGAGACTGAAACCTGGCAGTAACAAAGACAAAAATCACCAGACTATCTTTAGATAATCAATATATTACAACTGACATGTATCACAAGCCACTATTAATGAACCCTCTACTAGACAAAAAAAACTCAATATTTTTTACAGTCAAATTAAAATAAACTAAACTCAATTACCATGTATTTCCATCCCAATGAACCAAACCATCAGACAGGAAAATTTCCATGCTACACACAGGGAAAGATGTTCCTTGAAATAATGCCCGCCTTTTATGCTCAGTTTTTTTTAAAACTGAAGGGCAAGTGCCCTTCTCAGAGTCAACAGACCGATACTTTGACCATACACACTCTACCATCACCAGCCAGTAAAGTATGTATCTAAAAAAACAGACTCCCACTAAATTATCAGATGTGACCCAATAATAAATGAGCAACAACAAAAAATTACCTTCTTTTGATTTCATTCAAATACATGAAGGCCTTGGACCTCTCAAATTCCTGCAACAAGAGAAACAAAATGTAAGCATATTTATTTTACTGCAACTGTCTTTGACATTGAGTTAAAAAGTGGTGAATGTCATGTAACAATATAGTTGAACCTGTTGTGTAACATGGAGATAGAAAAAAATTTCGTCTTACACATTTTCCGTCTTGGACAAGGGAATTTAGGGGGAGATGAAAGTGTTTCAAAAGCCCAGTCAAAGCGATGAATGGTTGCTTGTCTGGTCAGCAAGCAGTGGTCAAAACTTCACACCTCTTTAGTGCCATCCTCTCTGATAATGGCATGCGCCAGTCCCACTTATCCATAGCCACCAGCACTTGCGCTTCAAAGGACCCTTGTTTGTCCTATTAAAAGCAGAAATGGTAGATCATTTTTGCTTCCACCCTTAGCCCCATCCACCAGTGTAATAAGTACAGTCAACCAATAACTGTCACCCCTCCCTCGCCTTACGATCAGGGCAGCAGGTATTGGTCAAACTAATTTCATATCTCTGGCCTCTGACAATCTTTGAAAGTTTCAATGCTGGAGCACCACTTGAGCACTTCCAAGACACTGTGTGAGATTTCACATCCACACCACCCTGATCATATGCACTATTACTGGCTCAAATGGATGCTGTATAAAATCTACCCCCAAATACCTCACCTGGCAGTATGTCAAAAAGGTTAGAGCTAATGCCCACTGTATAACAGTCTATACAGAAGGCTATGGGTAAAGCTGATTGAACCAAATTTGATAGTTTTGAGATCAAATCAGGGCTGCGTGGGCAAAGCATTTTCCGTCTTAGACAGATAAAAAAAACCCAGACAGGAAGGAATTTTTTTTTCACGTTTCCATGTGACAGGTTTCCGCTTTATAGAGGTAATTATAGAAGAATTTATCAGGGGCAGAGCAGGCAGATTCCATTAAAACAGATTTCCGTATTACAAGGTTTCCACTGAGGCATGTTCAACTGTAAGCACAAGACTTACACAAATTGTATAACTTTTAAAGCACATCTACCAACATGTATGTACAAGATGCAGCAGATAGAAAATAGAAGAAACCCAGTCAGGCTTCACAATGAGCAGCACTCTAGCATTAGCCTTTCCAACAATTTTCTGTCCTTTCAAAGATGTTTTGAAATGTACATTGTGTTGGATTTGAAATCATTTATTCTAACTAAGAAAAAAATTCAATATTGTGTTCATTTTCAGAGCAAAGATATGTTCATACTCACATCATCTGTGATGCAAAGGTACACCAGGCGCTCCTCTGTAACGTAATGGAAAAGATAACTGAAAAGAAATAAAAAGAACAAAAAATCAGGAGGCGATGAGAAGGAGAGCACAAAATGTAACCTGTGTCATACATAATTTTTTATGCAACAGGCCTTGAATTTGTAAGACAAACTTACTAGAACTAGCTAGTGAAAGACATGCCCTTAATTTGTAAGACACACACACTGAAAAGCAAAAGATAAATTAGTTTTAAATTTGTCAGACAGAACTTACTATAACTGGCTAAAAGAAAAACTCTTACCTGCCATGAGAGTATGTGAGTTTGGAGTTTTCTTGTGGAATCTTTGTTAGAATTTGTTCAGTGACCTCGGTAAAGTTTCCTGCACAGCTGGCATACTTGGCTAACACCGTCGTCCCCCTTGCCACAACAGAGTAAAGGATAGGCATTGTGCTTGTCTGTGGAACAAATACAATCTTTCAAGGAAAAACATTATTGGCACAGTATGCAATTGAATACCCAATTACCTTTAAAATACGATTAAACCATATCTTTCAAGACTTTGCCTTAAATTCGACCTGAACAGATCTCCTACGACAAAACTAAGCTTGAATATATATTGGTAATTTTATTCAGTTTCACAGTCAACAATTATTCAACACCTATCCATGGAAACATCTATTTATAACTGTGAATATCTTCCATACCTCCTGTAAAATGGGATTTTAGTGATACAATGTACCGTTGTTTGGGCATTCGGTGGTCTTCCAATAACAATACAGTATAACACGGATAGGTCGAACAAAGAAGACTCGAAATCATGCATCCGTCGAACTGTTCCTGTGGTCCCGTTTTTCCTTCTTCTTTATCTTTGTAAGATATCCCTCAAACTACCGAGGACGGTCACGACAAATTCGAGTTATCCTTGTTATACTGTTTATGGAAACTCAAGTTGTCTAGTTCTCTCCCTTTCCTTTGTTCCTACTGCTGACAGACAGTAACATACACATAAAGAGGTCTACTGGTCAATGTATCTTCTGGCTTTTCCATTTTTTCTTTAATCAGAATGATATTTGAGGATACAAGATCACAACAATGCAATTCTAGGATAACTCTTAGAGAAAGGAACATTTAAATTACAATAGCACGATGCTGCAGCGATAAGATGGTAAATTTCTTTATGCAAGTTTGTATACATTATAGTTAAACTGCTCTAACAGCAACCTGTTTAAGACAACCACTCCCATACCCCCTCCCCCCGTGTATTTGCTTATTTGCTTATATTATACTGAAAGTGTCCAGGACATCAAATTGTCTAGGTTGACCAGTTTTCTACTCGACGCTGAGTGGCCTTCTGGGACAATTCCAACTGTAAGTTCTTAATTTAAGGGACTGTCACTTTTATTAGGCCACGACCTCTATTCCAACACGAGTCCGATCAGGTTTTTTATTTATTCGGAGTCGAGTCCGCGAATGGGTTTTATCTATTCAGACTCGGGTCCGCAAAAAAAATCTTTATTTATTCGGACTCGTCTTGAAAGTGAGTTACGTGAGTGAAAAAGAGGTTACATATAATAATTGTCATGGGGGAATTTACGTGTAATACCAGATTTAGACTAAAATTATTTACTAGGACTGTGTAACTGTCAGAAGCCTAAAGACTGCACTCTCATTGCCCACTCTATGTACACGGTAACTGACAACTCAGGGTCTACATACACAGTAATCTACCCCGGGCATCACTACCAGTCACCAGCATTATGATTACTTTCACCACCACTACAGCATCATAATTACTTCCACCACCATTTGTCTTTCCACATGTAAAATTTCATTTTGTTGTGAGTTATAGTTTTTCTGTAATTTGGGGTTTTTTAAAAATGACATTGCACAAAATCGACAGCCATGGCCTCTTCCCAACACCTCTTCTCCCAGGAAGTTGAGAGTGTGAGATCGCTACGCGCCATCTCATTGGTCGATATATTTAACTTTGCCTCCTGCAAAGTAAACTCAAGTTATTCTGTTCATACTAGATCTAGTATTACTAATGGGAGGAATTCCGTAACGAGCGACCACTTTGAAATAAATAGAGTATAGAATGGGCTGCGGTTATTGGTACAATAGTGCGTACAACTCTAACCAGTTATCAGTACAATTATACTAATAACCAGACAGAGTTATTCGTACAATTATTCGAATTTTGGAGGTTGTTGGTAAAAATAAGCCTAGATCTAGTCCTCCGGTTCTCCCCTGGGTTGAGCATCAATATTAATTAATAACTTTAACAAGGCCAAAATTGGTAGGCCTAAAAGGAAAAGTAGGCTAGATACTAGATCTAGATATCTAGATCTATATCTATATTTCTATTAAAATACAAGATACTTGATCTAGATCTAGATCTATTGTTATGACTAGAATCTGTTAATGTTATGCTTCTTTAATTGTTTTGACACAAAACCATGAGTGGAAATCTTTGAAGTCAAAACAAACAATTATGGGAAAAAATTTGTTGGTCAGTCGGGGGAGGAGAGAGAAAAAAAAAAAAACTTTCGGGACCGGAATTCGAACTCACACTTATAATATAATACTTCTTCAAACGCAGACACGCTGTCATTTCGGCCATTAGAACTATCAACAGAATGAGGTAGATTTAGCTTAAATATTTTTACACCACGATTTCGAATTTTGGAGGTTGTTGGTAAAAATAAGCCTAGATCACCATTGGAAACACTGATCTAGAATCTAGATCTAGATTTTTAGATTTACTAAGACAGAACATGTTGGCGTAGGCCTGTGGGAATGTAGGCCTATTATTGTACGGATACCTGTAGCAATTATCCGTACAATGGTGTAGCAATTGTGCATACAACATTGTACGGATAACTAGACAGAGTTGTTCGCACAATTGTAAGGTACAATGTTGTATGGATAACTAGACAGAGTTGTTCGCACAATTGTATGGTACAGTGTTGTACGGATAACTAGACAGAGTTGTTCGCACAATTGTACCGATAACCACTAAGATAGAATGGTGGGTTTTATGATTAAAAATTACGCAGTGGCTATTTTTACAGCGTGCCGTAAAGATAGCCTCCCAGTGAGTCCCAGGCTATTTTTACGGCGATCCTCGAAAAGCGACCCTACTCCGCCTCTCATGTACGCGACATGCCTCAATGTATTAGATCTAGGCCTTCAGGGGCCGTTCAAAATATAAACTTACACCCCAGAGGGGAAAGGGTGTCTTTGGCTTCTGTAAGAAAAGTGTAAGATTGGGTGGGGAGGTTAACCAAATATGACACTTCTGTGAGATGAACGTTTTGCTCATGACTGGGAAGAAAAGGTAAAAGATTGTTTCTTTGTAACTTTGCAGCTGTTTTGTTGATCTTTTAATGTCTTGATGTCTTTTATTTGTAAGGCACGTACCTATTGCATTGACAAGAGTCTCAATGTCTTCCACATATATGCGTTTCTTTTTAGTCCATATGGTTTGATTAAATTGTATTAACTGAAATATTTTTTTTACAAGCTGGTTAAAAAAAAGCCACGTATAGTACAGGTATCTTTGAAATAATAATGGAAGTTGAAGATCGGAAAAAGTACTAATATTAAATTGGTGTAGGTGGGGGTTGGAGGCAAATGTGAGAAAAGTGGTATTGGGTTTTGTGTTTTAAAAAAGTCCCCAAAAGTGTAAGATTATATTTGAACAGCCCCATAGGTTTTCCATTTCCTCCTCTTCACCGTCATTCTATTCTCTCCTTCATCTGCCTTCTCCCTTCCTCCACCACCATCTCTTCCTTCTTCTCCCCACCATCATCATTCACCCTCTCTTTATCATCACCACCACCATCACCCCCTCGTCACTATCATTACCATCATCACTGCCACTGCCAGCATCATCATCTCATTCACTGACATCACTACATGTACCACACCCACAAGAAGAGCGGCCATTTTGGAGTAAACACTTTTCGCCTTGGAAATGCCTTTAAAATGTTCCTCCTTCCTTTGCCCTGAGCAGATTTTTGATAGAGGTGTAAAATATTTTTTTTGGTGTTCACAATGATTAATTTATTAATTATTGTGATGAAATTTCAGGGTACAGGAACACATATATTTTTTTACATTCAAATATCAAAATTTTGCTCAGTACGATTGACCATAGTATCTGTATCCAGAGCTGTTAAAGTACTTTTAAAAAGGTACTTAAGTACAAATTTAAGTACAATCTAAAATATGTACTTAAGTACAGTAAAAGTACTTTCCTGTAAAATGTACTTGAGTACAAGTACTTTTTAAAAAAGTACTTATGAGTACATTTTGAGTACTTTCTGCTAATATGCTAAAAACTTCAGTGCTAATGCAAAACATCATATTGAATAACATATCTAGTATATTTGACAAATTCGGCCATTTATTACTAATAATGTAAACAGTATACAAAGCATTTGAATATGCGCACTGAACGTAGGTGGAAATTGTCCGTGAAATTGAAAAAAAAACCCAGCAAACAAACAGATGCAACTAGTGAGTAAGTGATATTATGAATAGAATTTGTTTGAGCAAGACAACATGATCAAATGTAAGTCAGTCCTAGAGGTCGGAAAGTAGGAAAAGTATCAAAATTGGAAAATGTAGAGACAAAGTTGATCTAAGAAAATAAAAAATTGACGAAAATGGCCAGCAAAAAAAAAAGTGCTTTAATTCTTCTTTAACAAATCCTCAAGGAATCAAGGTAGCTTTCAGCACAAACCACACAAAAAAAGGAAAAAAGAAATTTAAGTAGCCTAAAAAATTGTTAGATTGATATACATTGAGAACTCAGTTTCAGTTTCAATTGGTTATAATAGTGGTAAGACAGAGTTTGGTCACACTGTGTAGTCCACGGCGCCCACGGCAAACCAAAATATGCCTACATGTAATTTCCTAGAGTCTAGTAAGTGTAGTGTAACCAAAAAATCTCTACTACAGTAGTCTCCGCCTAAGATCCCAGTGCTCGGGAGGAAAGGAAATACGGGATCTTAGCCCCTCGAAGCTAAGGAAGAATCTACAGTGACCCAAGAACTGACGTGACCCCTGGGTAGGTTTGTGACATATGGCGAGCAAAGAGTGGTCATCCTTGATGACCAATCACAGTAGCATGGTGGTATGAGGCAAGCCATAATACTATACCGTACACTCATTAGCATAATTATCGTCTCGAGATCTTTATCTACGTTTATCCAGTTGCCCCTCCCCTTTACCTGTCCAAAAACTGTAGCCTTCCATCTCTGATTGAGTCCCCCTGCCTTTGTCGTTACGTACCATTACGCTGTGACCACACCAATTAAAATTCAGGCTGTCTCGCAATTTCGGGAATAGAGAAAAACTGCCTTCAACTTCAATGGTCAGGGAAGAGTTCACAGCTCGAGGTGATCCTGCCTGGAGCGAACTTGTAGGCCCAACCCACCCAGCGAGGGATGAAAGTTCAGGTGGCAAGCTCATGTGAGTGCGATGTTTGGGGAAAAGAAACGCCCATCGGTCTGCTCACACCTCGGTGTGATCCCGTCTGGGGATCATTGTACCGTTTCATGGAGTTTTACAGCGCATGTGATCACTTTCACAAGAGTGGCTGATCTTTGACGCGACGGGCAGTTCTTTAATCTCAACTTTTAACTCTTGGTTGATCGGCTGTGCCCGCCCTGGTGTTTGTTCCGTAAATTATGATCGGAAATGTCGGCACTTATTCTTTCATTAAGCTTCAAAGGTACTCAAAATGTACTTGAAAAGTACTCAAAAGTACTTTTATAAAAATTATCGGAGTACTGTAAAAGTACTGGTTTTCAAAATGTATCGGAGTACATAAAAGTACCGAAAATTGTAACGTAAGTACAAGTACCGGAGTACTTGTACTCCGTTACAACCAGCTCTGTCTGTATCTACCATTCCACCAATTTTCATGCAATTTTGTTAGAGAGTAAGAAGCCTTCGGGTTTTTTAAAATTATTGTTTGTTTTGCATGTTGGTGCTGTTTCCATTCCATGGCAACTTTCATATTTTCCGACTTATCAAAATTTACTTTCTTCATTATTTCTTATGCCTGTATAATTTTTTTTCCTAAATATGAATCGGAAAAAGAATCACCCTTGGGGTGAGCTGTTCCCCGTAAAAATGGACAGTAATAATATGAGCACATCAGAAAACAAAACACAAAAACTTTAAAAATGGGATCTATTTTATTATTTGAAAGAATCCCACAACAAGGTCCTAGTAAAGAACATAAAAACATTGAATTGTTTAAGTCCAGAATATAAAGACTATAATTATAATAATACTAATAATAGAGGACATTTAATTATGGCTATTGTTAGGGGACCGTACGCCCCAATAGCGCGTGGCGCTAGGGGACCGTACGCCCCCATAGTGTTTGGCGCTGGGGGACCGTACGTACGTCCTACCTGTGCAAGGCGTGGTGTTACGGGACTGTACACAGATGCATGCATCTGAACTTTGCAAAGATACTGGAGGAAAACGGCCAGAGTAACGAAGCTCCTGACGTAAGGAGTTATTGCAAGGAGAATGTTTAAAATATCTGAATACGATTGTGAGGTACCCAGTGGCCGTGGGTGAACCAGAATTTGAAATTTGCTCACGTCTGCACCCACGTTGTTGTTATGTGTCAATAAAAGAAATCAAAGAGAGGGAGGGGGAGAGAGAGAGAGAGAGAGAGAGAGAGAGAGAGAGAGAGAGAGAGAGAGAGAGAGAGAGAGAGAGGGGAGGGATGGGAGGGAAAGAGAGAGAGAGAGGGAGGGAGGGAGGGAAAGAGAGGGAGAGAGAGAGAAAGAGAGAGAGAGAGAGAGAGAGAGAGAGAGAGAGAGAGAGAGAGAGAGAGAGAGAGAGAGAGAGAGAGGTGTGGAAAGAGTTGCCGAAGGGAATGTGGGGGCGAACGATGGGGTCGGCAGGGTATAATTATGCTATTAGATTGAGAAGAGATGGTTAATCATGTAACGCCTTGTGTGGAATATGAGTTAAGAGAACAAATTAAATTCATACTACTCCAACCTACGCCTATAGTGTGGTCAAAAATGCACGGCGCAACTTATTGTGAAATATCTCCTTACTTATCGAACATAAATTCTCCAACTTTTGCACAGTGACTTATATCAATTTGTCTTAACAGGTGAATATTTTTTCAAACTCCTGCACACTGTATTCTAGAAATTTTTTTTGATCGAACCTCGATTGTTGTGGAAAAATATGATTCAGTTAAGACATTTTTTAAATACAAACTGCTGTGCAAAGTATGGGTGACATTGATTCTCCCGTTAAAGAGATACAGTATTTTTTAGGAAAAGTTGCGCCACGAATTTTTGACCGCACTATTGTTACACGACACCTGTGCGCAAAAGTAGTCCAGTTATACTAATGTTGTTTTATTATTAATGTGGACAGGTGTATAATATGTAATGCGCTTGCAAATAAACTTTAATTCGTCTGTGCTTAGTTCACTCCCCGACGTTCTGTCAAGTCTCTACAATAGTTTGTTTTGCTTTCCATCTACCTTTTCCAAGCTGTCTTCTTTTTCCTTTCTTTTCATGTTATTGTTATTGTCACTGAATGTGAGTTGATCTTGCGTCTTGCGCGCTATCAAGACTGAGTGCATGCTCAGGCGTGTTCTCTTATGCAAAAGTGAGTACATTTCTGGCGTTTACGAGTGTCATTAAATGGGGCTAAGGGGCCTATTTATTTTAGGTCGCAAAGCTTAAAAATGTACTCACGTCTGCCCGTAGAATGCGCCTGAGCACACATACTATTATCCTTCTCATTTTTGTCCAAAACATTTCCTTTGTGTAAATTTGTTCATCTCTCTCTTTCTCTCACGACTCCCTCCCCCCCAATCTCTCTCTCTCTCTCTCTCTCTCTCTCTCTAACACACACAGACACACGCACACAGACACACACACACACACAAAAACACATACTCACACTTTGTCTCCCCCTCTCTCTCCTGCTCCTTCTTTCTTTCTTTCTTTCATCTTTTTTTCTCACTTCCTTTCTGTCTGTTTTTCACACTCAAACACACACACACTCACACACTCTCTCTCTCTCCCTCTCTCTCCCTCTCTCTCCCTCTCTCTCTCTCTTTCTCTCTCTTTCTCTCTCTCCCCTCTCTCTCTCTCCCCTCTCTCTCTCTTTCCCTCTCTCTTTCTCTCTCTCTCCCCCCCTCTCTCTCTCTCTCCCCCCCCTCTCTCTCTCTCTCTTTCTCTCCCTCCCTCTCTTTGATTTCTTTTATTGACACATAACAATAACTTGGGTGCAGACGTGAGCAAATTTCAAATTCTGGTTCACCCATGGCCACTGGATTCCTCACAATCGTATTCAGAAGTATATTTTAAACATTCTCCTTGCAATAACTCCTTACGTCAGGAGCTTCGTTAAACTGGCCGTTTTCCTCCAGTATTTTTGCAAAGTCCAGATGCATGCACATATCTGCGTACGGTCCCGTAACACCACGCCTTAGCGCAGGTAGGACGTACGGTCCCCTAGCGCCAAACACTATGGGGGCGTACGGTCCCCTAGCGCCAAGCGCTATTGGGGCGTACGGTCCCCTAACATCAGCCTTTAATTATAGTGCCTTACTCTTGGTTTTAACCAGCTCAAAGTATGTTACATTAGTTTAGTCATTTAGTAAAATGTAGTATAAAATAACAAATAAAAAAGGTAGTAGGCTACAAGGCCTACAAGCCAAGACGGAATTTATAAGACTGAAAAACGTGTTCTACGTCATCAGTTTGTGACAGCCGTAAAAATAACATTTCAGTTAATACAATTTTATCAAACCATATGAACTAGATAAAACGCATATATGTGGAAGACATTGATTGAGACTCTTGACAAGGCAATAGGTACGTGCCTTACAAATAAAAGACATCAAGACACTAAAAGATCAACAAAACAGTTACAAAGAAACATAAAGAAATTAGATGTCCACCTACAGAATTTTCATCATAATTTCAAAATTATTTGTCACCCCCCCCTCTCAAAAAAACAAAACAAAACAAAAAAACAACAACGGTGATCTGCAGTAATCATGCAGATCTGGGTCTTGTTATTGGCATTTATCCACTTTTATTTTTACCTTTTCTTCCCAGTCATGAGCAAAACGTTCATCTCACCTCCCCACCCAATCTTACACTTTTTTTTACAGAAGCCAAAGACACCCTTTCCCCTCTGAGGTGTAAGTTTATATTTTGAACGGCCCCTATAGGCCTAGATCTAATACATTGAGGCATGTCGCGTACATGAGAGGCGGAGTAGGGTCGCTTTTCAAGGATCACCGTAAAAATAGCCTGGGACTCACCGGGTGGCTATCTTTACGGCACGCCGTAAAAATAGCCACTGCGTAAAAATTATGGTTTAGGGTTAGGGTCAGGATTTGGTTTAGCATGAGGGTCTATCACTTGCTTACACACTTCCCAAATACCCATTAAAGTGATTTTAATAGAATCATAGTATGGCAATGACAATAAGTTGAAAAGACACCCATCATTGGTTTGTCCACAGTACAGAGGAACAGAAACTGGAACTTCAGACTTTTATGTAAAATAATAGAGTTTAGTCAGTCCAATGCATGCAGGCAGTCAACCATCACAGGGAAATTAGATTACATATTCAATACAGAGATTTTGATCGTCACAAATTCATACACACTGCCCTCGCCTTTTCGTTTTTTACTGAGTCAAAATTGCGAAAGAATAGCAGATGTTTTTGTCCAGTCAAATCAAGAAAGCTCGTGATAGTGCGATGTGACAGTCGACGGTCGACAATAGGTATCTCTCAATCGACAGAAACTCATGACACATTGAATGTAGATCTAGTTGGAAAGAAATTGTTTCCTGAAGAGATGTGAATTAAAACATTAGAAGGCAAACTATCAGATAAACAGAGAAAAAAAATGTTACCTGAGCTCACCGCTATAAATACAAAGCGTGCAGATTTTTTTAGGAAGGAAATCTCTTCACTCTTCACTCCTACTTTCAGCTGGGGTCGAGAAAGTGAGTAGTCGAACTTGCTTTGTTTACAAACATGGGATATGACGCAAGGTCACATGCTTCGTCACCATCAACTTGTTTTTCAAACCTTAAAGAGCTCTTCCTGTGGTCTTGGTTGCCTGGTTTCTGTAAACAATAGTCTCTTCCTGGGACACCGGGAGCTGACCGATGCGCCTTCGACCAGGAGCACGAAAAGGACGACACGGATGGTTTGAGCCTGCTAATTAGAGATTTTATAGGTTTCATTTTTAAGATAAAGAAGAATGGCGACTGGGCATATTTTGCCAGGGTATGGAGATCCTGTGTCAAAACTCAGACGTGCTCGTTCAGCTGGATGTTATCCTTTGGACAATTCCTCACTGTTGGACCTTCAGAATGCTGCCCGCTTAACAGAGCGAGAGTTTGAACAGATTCGCCAGAATGCTAGAAATATATGGTTGAAAACCTCCCCTAGATCAACGACGTATGATACATTCTACTCTGGCGGTGAAGTGAGGGAAATCACAAATCCCCGTCCGACTTCCAGCCATCGGCACAACAATCCTCATCCTCCACAGTAAGTCCATATAGCCTTAAGATTTTGCTTTTATTTGTTTGCAGCTTATTGCTGTGCATTCCCAATCTTTGTCCCTCACATCTTTCTATTTACAGTACAATTACAATATACCCCTTTCTTCTGCTATTCATGCAAATGCCGCATACATTCTTTATCTGATTCATTAAACCTCTGCAGATATTATCATCCCTATAGACCTATAAAATCTTTACAATGACCATTGATGTAGACTTACATGCATATTAATATCAGAAGTAGATCAGTATATGTTTATCAAGCCAAATTGTGGCATGCTGTCTAATATGCCCCCTTAGTGAATTTTTGTGAGGATTGAATTTTTGAATGGAGAACTTATATTGGGAGGGGCCTGGGGTCTGCTGTATTGACAAAATGAACAACAGCTCTGCTGCTTTGATTGTTGCAGGTACAGGGTTCTCTGAATATGAGTCCTATAGGTGTTTATGAATCAAATTATAATATGGCATTTTACGACAATGTTTCATTTTAATTTAAACAACAAAACATTATATATGTGTATACAATTCTGTACACGATTTTCTGAATTTAAAAAATTATCTTTTTCTTCATCTTCACAGGGTGTTCTTGACAAACAGGCTTCACTATATAGAAGGCTACCACAATCCAGATACCACAGTGGGCAAGAGTATGTACAAAAGTAAGTCTGCAACATTCACCTCTCAGTATGGATTATAGATTGTTTAGCGTTCAATGTGTTGTTAGTTTTCTCATAATTATTATTAGAAGTTTCACATTACTGGTGACAGTAGTGGCATGATTAGTCCAGGCTTTCTAGTTCACTCATGAGTTTGCTAGGCAGTTGCCTTAGGTGCTTTAGGCACATGGGCCCCATTACGATCCATGTGAGTTTTATTGACTGTCATCAATCTTGTATCTAAATTCCTGCATGTGGTTGAATAATGCATCTGATGTGAATATTCTTTTTCTCAGCTTTATTTCTCTTTTCATATTGAATTTTAATAAGAGTAATATATAATTTAATTTTTTTTATGTAGCCTATACCTGCGTGTGTTTTTACGGTCCTGTACAGCCAAGAAAAATTTCCCTCTGGGATAATAAAGTATCATCTTATCTTATCTTATCTTATCTTATCTTATCTTAATTAATTGCTGTTAATAAATTTTTTATACATTTTTAAAAGTAGTAGCCCAAGTGCACTGTTTTTCCTGGGGGGGGGGGGGGGGGTATAATTCTTGTTACAACATCCCAAGGTAAGGCAACCAAACTGTGCTGAAAGGTTTTGGGTTCATTTCCTGACTATGCCATGTGTAAAATCTTACCCTGGCAAAGACATTGTATATTATTTTGCCTTACCCCACTCTCATGCTAGAGGATTAGCCTGCCAACACCTGATGGGGGAGGGGCAAAGGGGGGTGGTAAGCTAAATTTAGTGCTAATTTAGTTAATGATGATGGCCTACTAGGATGTTTCTGACAGGGGTTCCTGGTCTACTTGATAGTCTACTGCCAGACTGGTCGGACAGCTGTTCTTGTTGACAAACAGCTAGTTTATGCAGGGTAATTTATGCATTCAGCGTGTGGTCATCAACATCTTGTCACTTTTCTGCTATTACTTACTTGTCAATTATAATCTTTACCACCACAAAACGTCTTACTCTAACCATATCCATCATATAGCTGTCAACATTGTCCCGTCTGGTCATTTGCTGTCGTAACTTACTGGTCAGTTATCTCTACCACTCCAATATGAAGCAATCCCCACCATCCCATTCATTGCAATTAACTCAAAGCCATCGCCTTTGATCTAAATGCCCCCAGTGCTGTCATTACTGCTGTTTACAGAACAGGCAGATCATGGTCGATTGAGCAGGAGTTACAGTAGACCACTTAGATCATGGTGGACCGTCGTCAATCAAGCAGGACTTATGGTAGATCATCGTATCTTGATGGTCCATTGACTAAACCAACACCCTAAATTTGAGGTGGAGCGTGGTCATAATAATAATAATATTGATCCAGCATTGTTCTTGTGTTGTCTGTCCTACATAAACATTAGAATGTGGGCACTTAAATCAGTTTCAGTTCCAAAAGAACTCTTCCTTACATGCAGTCTAAAGACAAAAAACTGAATTTTTGTGCAGTATGATCCCTCTTTAACATAAGTTTTTATAACGTAAAAAAAAGATTGGTTAGTTGTGTCTATCTCTCCACAGTTGATGCAAGTCTGAGTAAATCTGAGCAAGAGAGACGAAGGGCACCACGACTCAAATATATAGCTCGTCCTGACTCTGCGCTCGTCAATCAGTACAAAGATCCATTTGTAAGTTTAATTGTTCAATTTTCCCAAAAGTCCAAAATGTGAGAAAAGTAATATACAGGCATGTGTATTGGTAAATCCCAGTGGATTCAGTATGTATTTGTAACCATCCAAATTTCTTAACCTCTTATTCAGATGATACTTTTTATCTTTGTTACTATAGGGTCATACCAGGATTGACTACCCTTTACTTTTGGTCATACAGTGGAATATAATTAAACCAAAATCTATGTGGGCCGACTGGACTTTGTTCAGTTTTGCAAGGTTGTACAGTTTAGAGAGGATGCTCAAATAGAAGGAAAAAAGTCAGGGATTTTATTTTCTTCCGGTTCACCACTGCTTTTAGATTAACACAGTGTTTGGTTTAGGCAGACTTCACAGTATTTTAAAATTATGCGAACAGTAATTGAAAGAAACGTCTGATCAAAATCATATTTATATATTATTAACATATCTAAAGCTTTTCAGAATCGGCAACTCAAAAAAAAAATGTTAAGGTAAAAAATTTGCTTCTTCTTCTTCCTCGTTCTCGATGACAGCAGCTAGACAGTCAGTTCGATGTCACGTACTAACTGTATAGTTCGCTTCAACTCTGAAAGACTGCCATAGAGTTTTCTCTCAAGGGAAGCCACATTCTGCCACGTCTGTGCGCGAAGGGTGGCATAGCGCGGGCAGTGCTGAAGAATATGGTTGGCATCCTCTTGGTCGTGTCCACACTCACAGATCGCTGTTTCTCCCACTATTACTTTGGTGTGCATATGGTAAAAAAAATAATTTACAAAATCCTCACTTTTGCTCTTTGAGTACAGTACAGTATGAAATTATTTTTGTGACTGTTTCCAAACTTTTTTTTTTTTTCAGGGTTTCCGAAACCACTTACCACCGCGACAAGCCCAGGCAGCTGAGGCATGGGTCAAACTTGCTGACGATGCAGGTATTCACTGGCAATTTCATTTCAGATGTCTTGGAAACTGAATGCACTGAAGCTATATGTTGTTCATTACTCAAGTTTTTCAAGAAACAATTTGGTTTGCATCAGATTAATATAGGTAATATGTGTAGTTGATTTACAGACCTTTAAATTTCGGGGTTGTTTTAGGGGTATTTGTATTAGTTTAATTAATTTATAAATCTGTACTAGATGCAAACAGCGAGAAATAACCCATACTTCAAGGATATTTCCAATTCAATGCTTATAAATGTCCTCACCCATAGTTCACATCCTTTTTTTTTTCTTTTTGTGAAGCATTCTGTGCAAAAGTCATGTTGTTATGTTATTTGAAGCCTTGCTCAACTTCACTGAAATATGTGCATAAGTATATTTTATGTTTGAACCATGGCTAAGATGCTTGTCTCAAAATATATACTTGAAACCATAAAATATAGAACAAATTACAAATTGTGATTTCTTGCACGAAAGGAAAATTTTCTTTGCAGTTGGCAAGACATCAAGGCTTAATATATCATGCGTAATTCCGATTATTATATAAAGCTCTAGCCAGATTTAGAAATCACTTAGAGTTTGAGATCTCCAAGTTCAACAGACTTTGTCATTTTCCACAGATCGAGAGCGAATCCTAGATGTGGTCAAGGAGCAGGGAGAAGGGAACCAGCCGCAGGTTTGTATGAATGCCGAAAAATATGGCACGTTTTGAGCAGATCTCCAAAAGGCACTAAAATGCAAAGACACAATGTAGAATCAAACTGTATTACTATTACTATGGGTCACAACAACTCGACAAGCCCATGTGGTCTTTGTCACAGACTCTCAGAGCACTCTGAGGAAGATTAAAAGTGGGAACCTTAGAGCTGAAGAAGACAACACTGAAAAAGATCACGTGGATCTTCACCCTGGGCCATGCGGGAGTCAAGGGCAATGAGCGGGCTGATGAGCTCGCTGGGAAAGCAAAACCAGAAGGGAAGCTGTGCACTGACAAACTTGAAATTGTACAGTTAGGCAAGGAAAAAAGAGAAAAAGAACAGGAAGAGACGGAATACCATCATCTTGAGCGACTTTGTGAGCTGGGAATTGGATGGGGCGCCTGCAGAAGTTCAAGACTGAGTGGGAGGAGCAGAAGGCTATGGAATCAACCATTGCTTGGAACCGTCAGCATCTACACACTTTGAGATGTGCTTCTTCAGGGGACGGAGCGCTTATGGGAATACCCCTTGTGCAATGATGTCGGTCCTTCACACAAGTAAACAAGTAATACTCTTATATTTGTCTGACCAAATGATTTAGTAAGGTTATTATCACACACACTAAGAGTATTACAACACACACCTAGAATAGTTCCATCTAAAAACAGGTTGTAGAGAAACAAAGTGTTGTAGAAGTAGAGGTAAGTAGAAACTGAAAGATTACATAGAATCGCTGTAAGGTTAGCCTAACCAGATTTCATTCTTAAAGGAGTTAACTGAAAATAATGCAGCAAAATTAGTTTTTAGAGACAATATTGAATGCTTGCTTAGGATGTCATGTGTTTATGACCTACTTATCATATTTTCCAGGAGGAGGATGCTGAGAACAGACCCAAAAGTGCGTACCCTTCTTTGCACAGATGGATGAAGTTTAGCGGAGCTGAAGGTAACCACTGTATGAGAAAAACTGATAAAAATACTGTCCTGTACATTTCAATCAGATTGTATCAAACTCCATCCCTGGGGGGGGGGGGGGGGGACTCTGTGGTCCAGACATACTGAGTCTGTCATCTGCTTTCTTTTCCACTTCTGTCCCTCTCCTCTGGGCTCCTCTCGATTGTACAGCTGGTTGAAGAACCAGCAGTCGACTACCCCGTAAATCTAGCATTGGGTCGTGGAAAACTAAACCTTTTTTAAACAACTGATGAATTAGAATGTACAAAAAGTTAAAATAATACCAACTATATAAAGGACCTTGGTCTAGAGGTCTCATGTGCGAGTTGCACATTTTAAAGATCTCTTGGTGGTCCTAAAATCGATAAGAGTAGGCTTCGGCTGCCACTCTGGCAAAATTCAAAATTCCTACCAAACTGAAAATGTGTAATGTGTCTTATGTGCTCATATAACCTTATGCAGTTGCGAGTGCCTTAAAACATGTACTAAAACAAAACAAAAAAGATTAGTAAAGAGGACACTGGTCTTTTGATAACATATGGATCAGATGTCCTTTTTGAAATCAAAGCTAATTTGGAGATGGAAGCCAGATACAGAATACTGCCTTTTGTATATTTGTTTAATTGCTTGGATAATTTCCCTTTCTAGAGCAGCACACGTAATTTCTTCTTGAGTAAACGGCAAAAATCTAGATATTCTATTAAAGATGAATAAAAAGAAAACTGTCTGGTAAGAATGACAACACGGTTGGTAAATCCATCTAATGTTATTATCATGTCAGCTCATCTATACTGGTGTCTGTTGTATTTATATCGGTTAGACGCTTCGCTGTCGCACACAGGAGACACGATTTCGATTAAGTGGGGGGGGGGGGGAATTTTTTCAAGTATCTCAATCTCCCTGCTGGGACGTTGAATCCCTCTCAGCCCAGGTTGGCCCTGACAGATAGTGTTGGAAGCCGTCCACCTAAATGATCTATATTATGTCAAAGGGCGTGTAGAATCACTTACATTAGATTTTTTTTAAACTCAGCTATCATAGCTTTTTTAGTAATTCTAGAAAAAATTCATATATTTTTTCTTGATTCAGGTCAATGATTTTTTTCTACTCGAAATTATCAACTTAAAAGTTTTATACCCATTAACATTGTTTTAACCCTATCTGTTCGCCCTTGGGTAATTTTGTACCCCCGGGGTTGTATTCTTCACATCTTAGAATACTTCTTGTACGAAGATCTCTATGAAACTTTCAGTATTTCTCAAAAAATCATTTTGACAGACTACTATTTAAAGCGTACGGATCGGATTAACCAGTAAATTTCCTCTTTGGAAAGTGGTGACACACAGAGTTCCCCATGTCATATGGATACAATAGTAAAACACGACGAATGGATAGGGTTAATATGTGGTGGTAGATTGTGATGGAATTTCAGAAATGAGGGTTCAGTTTGATTTTGACCTAGGTCTGATTCTGGCCACTGCTGTAACTTCTTGACAGCACGAAGCCTGTGCCTTGACACAATTACGGCTTTGGACTTTTCTTTATTTTCCATGCTTTCCAATTGCAGAATACGACTCGACCTCTCGGATTGTTCAGACCCTTCAGTCCGATCCTCTTCGCCAGAATGGGTTCACGGGTTCTCTACCACACTACAGCCTAGGCCACAAAGCCAGGGAGGACATCCGGTCAGCAGGCATGTATCGCTTCAAGCCTCGGCTCCGAAGAGGGGAGTACAGCATGCATCCTGACTGGCCCACCTCTCTGCCCCACCACAAAGTGCCATAGAAAAGAGATCCATGTTTTCAATCAAGAAGAAAAAAACTAGGCCTTGCCTGTATAAATTGTAAAAGACAACTTGTACTTTCCAAAGGAGTTTGTACAAATGTAGGATTATCATTATTTTAGTACAAAGTACTTGAACTCGATATGACTGAATAATATGTCATTTTAATTGCTCTGTCCATTTATTTTCTTGGATCTTTTTCATCTTTCTTTTCCTCCTCCCCCCAACTTAAAGTAAGGCATGGCTAACAGGAGGGTCACATGGCTTCTGGACAGTGCTATGTGTTGTTAAAGGTACTGACACTTAGATTGATGTAGGCCTATATACCAACCAAGGTTCTTCCATTTCGAATGGGGACTAACTGAATTTTTTCTTGGGCATCTGACTTTAGCAGACCTGCTCTTCTTCAACCTTTTAGAACAAAAAAAATCTCTTAAGCATGTCTTGTATGCACTGGATCTCTGAGTTTATATCCTTTTTTTTACCTTTGAACCCAGAGGGTGCAAAATAAACAAAGATCAACTGAAAAAAACCCACACAGTTTAGAAATCCTTATTAACCTAGATCAAATAGGAGTACATTTGACATGAGAGGGAAGCAGCATAACTGTTAGTTACTCCGCTGATGTGATCTGAGTTGGGTTGGTTCTTTTTATTTTTCATTGGGGGTTTTCTTTGTCATAAAACCCTCCCTGACTCTGATTGCTTTGCAACTGCGGACCACCTCTGTCTCATTGTGCTAGTTGTCATCTGTGTTACTGCACAAATGAATTAATAGCTATTACCATTTATGTAAGCAAAAAGAGAATTACCTGCCCCCAATATTATCCCAGGAGAAATCAAGAATATCCACGGTATAATTTCTTCTCATAATAATGTCTGTATCTCATCTCACTAATTCAATAAACAAAGTCCATTGAACTGACACACAAGAAATGCTCATTACCAAAATGTCCTATTCATGTATAGCAACCACCTCTTTAAAAAATATAACATCTGTCTCATTCCTGTAAATCAGTTGACAAAATACATTGCACATGTACATGTCCTTGCAAACAAGAAAGATAACCAAAAAAATTAAGCTCTATATATACTAGTCAAACACTATATTACCTATCTATATAAGCTTGTTGGATAATTTAGCCGTAGCCAGTAATTATATATTATTTATTCTTCATGGTATTTGCTTCCAATGTGAATAGTGTTTTCTCTCTCTCGTCTGTTGATCTGTACTTTCCTGTTTAGCTTATATTTACATATACAGTGGAAACCATATATAACAGGCCCGGTAATAACAGGGATCCGGTAATAACAGGGATTTTTTAAATCCCAGATTTTTCCTACTCTTTGTCTCTATTAAAAGTTATCGGCAATAACAGGGCCCCATTGGTGCCCAACCGGTTATAGCACGGACAAAGGCTCGCTAACAATGTGTAAAAAGTAAGAGAAAGAGAGAGAGAGAGAGAGAGAGAGAGAGAGAGAGAGAGAGAGAGAGAGAGAGAGAGAGAGAGAGAGAGAGAGAGAGAGTAAAGCAGTGCATGGAGCAAGCCCATGCAAGTCATGCCACTGCAGGCCAATGCAACGTGTGAAGCGAGAGAGGGCTGCAGTGTGCTGCAGACCTCGATCTAGCCCGAAACCTAGCAACACGCACGCGTAATGTGTCTACTATCACCTACGAAGTCAAGCACAAGAGAAAATGTCTTTCAATTGTTTAAAAAAATACGAAATAATCCAGGCTCTTGACAAAAAGCAAGCTCCACTGGCAGAGATTTGTCGTCAGTTCGACATTCCACAAAAGTCGATTCACACCCATATCATGGATAGAGAGAAGATAGTGGCAGCATACCCTAATGGAAAGTTTGCTCTGGATCGAAAGATGAGACTACCCGATGCAGATGCTGTGGACCAAGCTCTTCTGATGTGGTTTAAGGGGGCAAGGAGATAGTTGGTGCCAAAACCCCTGTTCGTGGGTACTTTCAAAGGAAACTATCCATGAATAACTACAGCTGGATTATTCCACAAATGCTTACTTTCCTTGCATTTCTGATTTAACAGGGATCTGATACAACAGGACATTTTCTCTACTCCCACTATCCCTGTTATATCAGGTTTCCACTGTATATACATTTAATAATATGTGTACTGTATCTATTATTACAGTGTGTACAAGCACAAGTCTCTGCATTAACCTTTACGGTTCACTGATCTATGATTTTAATGATATGTTTTACGCCCCCATCAGCACAATGTAGATCATTAAGGAAATGAATAACCAGTATGTATATCACTGGACACTTCTTGCTGGTGCCAACCTTGAACCATGGCTGAGAGGGATCAGAGCATCTCAGAAGTCAGACGAAGATGATTCTTTCAGTTTAAAAAAAACAAACTTCTCCACTCAGAAATTAAATTGAACTCTATTCTTCTGGGTGCGACAGTGAAGAGCTTTACATCTCAGATGCCGAAGCACTAAATGGAACACCAGTCTACACTTCTGTACATAGACGGCACACACTGAACATCACTACATATTCGTTATGGTTCCCTGAATGACACTACCTATGCTTTTGTGATTTGTTTATACATTGTACTGCCATTTGAGAGACAAGCCCTGTAGCCTACATGTATGTGCACATTAACTCTTTAAGGATGTAGTGGACATTTATGTCTGACTATACAGCAGATCAAAAGCAATGGTGCGGCAAATTTCAAATCATTATACACAAAATCAGACTCAAGAATTTGCATTTTATTTGATAATATTATGCACGTTGTTGCTTGCCTTTTTTAAGTTTCATATATAGAGAAAACAGTAGGCTATTGAAAAAGCTGTATGAATAAGGGAGTCATGCGTCCTATTTTTTTAATGCCCCCAAAACAGTGCGTCTTCAATGAGTTAATATCAAATCACGATTCGTTTTTCACGAAAATCTTACATCTCTATAATATTATTTCAATGCTTATAAATAAATATTACTGAGATTGGACAGGTTTAACATAAGTTCTGTATTTACTATTTTGTGTTTCCAATTTTTATGGCACTTGCCACACAATTAGATCATAATATTATAAAAGCCGGAGTTTTGAGGTGTTACTAGAGATTAACATACAAAGAAGAGAGGAAGAAAGATTAGGAAGACAAATGTTTGATAGAAAAGAAGAAGCAAACCACACCAGAGCACCTGCGCAACTACCCACTCCAGTTTTCTACAAAACACAGTCTTGTTAGAAATATACTATGTTTTTCAGTTCCAACGGCCATATTATACATGTATAAATGAGACGTATCAGCCTGACAGTTCGCCCACATCTCTTTGTCTGCTGCAAGTCTTGAGTCTTCCTTCCTCTTGCCATAAAAAGACGACACATTTTCTTCATCTTTTTCGTAGTCTTCCTCCTCTACTCCACCCTTCCATAATCCTGCCTTTTAGGAATTTTGC